ATAGTAATATCCTTCCTATAAATATAATATATATATTTAATAGCAAATTACATATAGGTTTTATTTTTGATGATTTAATCTTATATGTCTCGTATTCTAAAATTCTGATGAAGTATGCATAATTATATTTTTTATGAATACTATAATATCCAGGATTCTATAACTATTTTAACATATCAAACTAATATATACCTCTAACAATTATATAGACTTACTGATATAATAATTTCTTAATAAGTATAAATATTACAAAAGATAATCATTATCATAATTAGATTCTCTTCTTATATATCCAATCATTTTTTACTAAAAAGTAATATTTCTAATACCTTATATTATCAGGAGTACCATTATTCCTTACCACCTTTCAAACTTATTTTGCCAAAGATTCAGGTCTCTTCTTGTAATTCTTATAAGCTTGCTGAATAACTGTTGCATAAAAATTTTCAAAGCCATAATTATAGTAGTATTTAGGAATCAAGAATTCCTAAGATTGCTTCATTGATTTTCTTAAAATAATACTTTATTATAAATTAGAAGATCTAATCCAAAATAGGCAAATCAGATTTTTATTCTGCAGATGATATATTTCACAGGCGATCATTCAGATTATATAGCACAAAAATAAAGTTGAAAGTAATTGTATATAATTAAAATATTTTTCAGAATCATTCAGTTAAACTAGTTAAATAATCATGACTTTTGACCTATATTTTAACCTTAATATTAGCTGATTAAACTGATTTACAAATGGTAGTAAGTTATTTTATTTTGCATATTGAGATGAGATAAATATTTCGCTTGTATCACTTTTACAATTCGATGATTGATAAGAAGTTAGTGGAATCATTTTTTGCCTGTCAGGTAAAATATAAGCTGACTCAAAATTTGTAACACTTGATATCATATTTTCTGCTATAGTTATTTTGGCCAAAAGGTAAGCTTTATAGCTGATTAAATGAATATTATAATCATATAATATCAATGCCAATTTATCCTTTTCTAAATGTGAGGTAGATTGGAAGAAAAGCTTTAGATGAAGATGATTAATTTTAGCCTCTTTTTGTAATATTTATTGTTTATATTACTAGATCTGAAATTTTTTTCTATCAATAGATTTGAGAATTTCATTTCTACTTGCATGTTCATTCGAAATAGTATTTTTAGAAATACATCTTTTTAAGTAGTTATCTTGATAGTGATTATCTAAATGATTGTTTTCAGATATGAAAACTAAGGAGTCATATACATTACAATATATATAATTTGATAAAAGATTATGGACTTTACCATGTTCATATAAATTTCTATACATTATAATATATCCATTCTTAGAAAGAATTCTTCAAGTATTTTTTTAAATACAGAAGTACTATATTTCTAGTATTTTATGATCATATCATTCCCTTAAAAAACATAATGCTTTTAATATTCTTTTATATTCTTCAAAGTTTTTATCACTATAACCAATAGAAACTAGTTTATATTAGCTCTACTATCTAAATCCATAATAGTATTTTAATAGATTATAACAGATTATAATGATTTTAAAGTTTTTATTAATTTTAGCTAATTTAGCAATATTATACTATAATAAAACCATATTCATTTTTTATTCGATTATTCAGGTGAAAACCAGATATTATAATTTTTGATTTAGTTAAATTATAAATTTTATATCACATATGATCTCCCTAATTCACTGCCAGTTCTGTGACAGTTCTACAATACTTTCCTGGCACTTTCATGATGCTGAGCAGTTTCTTAAATCATGGATGATCAGCATATCATGTGGATTTGAAAAAACGGTTAAGTCACCATTATTATTTGATTAATAATTTCATTAAATTAAATTAATCATCCTTCGCTATAATTAGAATACATCACTCAATATTTTCATAAAACTGATCCAATTTTCATAGAGTTCTTTTACTAATGTAAATATGTCTTCTTTTACTGAGTGATTTGACGCTTAGCTTCGTCTTCTCATTAATTAACGTAAAAAAGAAATTTTAAATATTATATCACATTAAATAAGAAGAAACAAGATTTTTGAGACAATATTATTAATAAACTTAACGAACAGGAGAATACTAACTTTTTCCTTAATAAAGAATGTTAAAAGAAGTTCTTAAGCTTTACAAAAAATTTTAATATAAGTAAATCTACTTGGATTTTACGTAGAATCTAAGATTAATAAATATACTTACTATTTTTTTAGACAGCAAATGATACAGAGAAAATACTAGAGTCGGTTAGAGAGAAAATATATGATGAATTCTCAATGTTATTCTGGTTAAAATCAGATATTTTTCTATAGAAAATAAGTGGGTGATTATCTCTAAATTAATATGATTCTTACTATTTACTAGAACTTTTATTCAAGCAGGTACATAACGAAAATGTTGGGTCAAATAGTAAATTCTTCTAAGGCATCATCTTCTTCAATCTCACCTAAACAGCCTAAAGGAAAATTAAGTTCTGAGTAATAACTATTAAAAAAGGCTATCAAAGACCCTCTTAAATCATTATCAAATCTATTAACTGTCGAAATACCTAACACCTCTAGATCTATAACCCCAACAATTCCTTCTTTTTTACAAAATGCTAATATAATTAATATTATTATTAATTATAGTAGTACACAAGAAGAGGATTAGAGTTTTTTTTCCATTAATTGTTGGCAGAAAGGGCTAGTGCTAAACATTTATATTTTATAGCTATGATTTATATAAAAAATGTAATACTTGACCTGTAAGATGCTTCAGAAAATAGTTTAGTAAATTTTATATTTTCATAATTTATAAGTATGATGCAATAGAATACAAATGTAATTAATAAATATCACTTGTAAAACATGAAACACATTTAAAAAATTCCTTAAACTTTTCAAAAAATACTTTATTATAGATTAGAGGATCTAACTCAGAATAGGTAGATCATGCATAACGCCTTTGGCCAATTTCATTAGACAATCATCTATACAGATTATGTAGCGTAAAAATAAATTATATTAATTAAACCAGTTAAACAATTATAACTTTTATCTTATCTTTCAATTTTAACATGATATTTTTTGACTGATTAAAATGGTTTAAGTTATTTTATTTTGTGTATATAGATGAAATAAATATTTCGTTTCCACTTTTTCTATCAAACTGCAGGAGAGAATCAGGTGTTTTTTTTTTAGGATATAATAACCCTTCAGTCAGAAAATTTTTCACACAATATTTTTGACTTCAATTTGTGAGAAGGTAAGCTGCTATATGTTTATTAGCTTTGAAGCATTCATTATCCCAATGATGTTTCATCAAGTCTTCAGGCTTAATTTCATACCCATATCTTCGCCATCCACTAAAATATGTCTTTTTTAGTTTTTCATCAATGATCTTTACTAATTTCTAATAATTAAAGCAAATAGCCATTTTGCTATTGTGAATATTAAGTCTGTGATAACCAATGGCAACTTTTCTCCCTTTTTAGTTACTATAATATGTCTTGATTACTCCTTGCCTAGATGATCTAAAAAGGCAGAATATATAATAATAGTTTTCATAGCCTTTAGTAATCAATGCTTGCAAAGCGTCTTTTACACAAATAGCCTATTGCTGAGGAGTTTCATATGAACTAATAATAAATAAATTATCATATCTTTTTTCCATCTCAATTATCTTTTCGAATTAACCAGGATAAGGAAAACCATAATGGTTTCTAATATATTCAATATCGTATCCAGGACGAAGATTGATGGGTTTATGCACAGATTGATTATAAACCTTGTCTAAAATAATATTAATGCATTTATTAGGCCTAGGTCTATTAACAATATTTCATGACATAATTATCAATTTATAGTGTTTTTAACGAATTCTAGCAATTCTTTAACAAATTATACTAGATAGTATCATCATTCAAATTTATACAGATTTACTGATTAGCGATTAGATGTGAAACTACATGTTAGTAAATAAAAATTCATTTTTTATTCGATTACGCCTTGTTCAAAGAACTTCACATTTTTTGATTCGGCTAAATTAGATCCGATCACCATTGACGGCTAAATTATAAAATTTGTATCACATATGATCTCCCTAGTTTCCTTGATAGTTCTAGGAGAGTTCTGGCGAGTTTCTATAAATCACGAGATGATCGGCCAATCAGACTTTGTATAGCTAAAAAAAAGAAACGTCATAATTGACATAACTCATGTCACCAGTATGTCACCAGGGCGCAGTATTATGATCTGGAAAATAATTACGAAGCATACATTTAGCGGTGATTGTCAAATGTCAATGCATGTAGAATAATTAAATACATTGGTTAAAAATTACCAGCCCGATATGGGCAAAACTTTTATAAATGCTTTATTAATATATCTGATATTTGAAATATAGTTTGCAAGAAAATACAGTTTTTCTAATTGCCGAGCCGGGACACCATGTCACCAGGGCGCAGTAGAATGAGGCGCAGTATTACGCGGTTCCTTTGGAACTTGCTCCTTTTAAAACTTAGGCAATCACATAATCGGTATCATCTGTAGTTAGATTTAGGATGAAACCCGGAGGGATATATTTTTTTTCTTTGCCTATATCCCGTCTATTCACATTGTTCATGGTCGGTGGTAAACTAATATACATAAGAAGTCAAGAAATAACTTATGTTTCCCGAAATCTTTGATTGAGAGAAGAAATTTCCTCCCTTTTACCAAAACTCTAGATCCGTGGTAAATTCTTTGAATGGGACGAAGTGGTGCGTATAAATATATCAGTGTTCGCAGCAACACACATTATGTGAAATATTAATTGTCGGATGCAGATGTGCTCCGAAGGGTACTTGGAAAAAAATAAAATCACGTGCGCGTGAACAATTGTTCACGCCGATCACTTTTGCCAAGAAAAATATTGCAGTGGTATATTAATTCATAGCATATGTCTTCGTAAAACAAATGATTATATTACAGATAAAAATATACATGACAATTTTTTAACATCCAAGATTAATTAATTATAATTCTTCTTTTGAGGAGGTGAGACTTCTACATTTGCAATCATGGTATTATCATTATCAATTTGCAAAGGATTACTTGTAATGTACGTCATTATACTATTAAAACTTGAAGTTATCAAGCCTTAATATCAAATCATCAATTACATTAGTACCACCACTGTATGTTGTACAAATAGCTTGTGCAAAACACTTACCCGCAACATCCATAGATTTGAAGCGAAAATTGGAAACTCTTTGAAAACTAAGAATGTAATTGTTGGATAGGAGAACATCTTCTCGAGTTTAAAATAGTAAATTCCAGCAAATGGCATGCACATACTATATACATATAAGTTGTGGTCTACAAAAATTTATGAATGGAAAAACATAAGTATACATCGTAATAAATTTATCTATTCAGCTCATAAAATTTACCGTATATTTGTACACCGTACACTTTTATCTTCCTAAATTTTTCGAAGTCGCCTGGGTATTTGATGTATATATAATTCAAGATGATTTTGAGCATCTTCGCTGTTTTATTCCGATCCCCAGCGTAGTGGGTATGATCAAGTTTTGATGGACTTCCAGAGACTTCCAAGGTCGAGAATTCTAATCCAATATCCAAAATTGACATAATTGCATCTATTTTATTCCCGGAACACCTCCTATTATCATCTTTTAATGAACGGTTGAGCAGAATTGCGGAACAACGCAAGGTCTTTTCACCCCTGTTTAAACATAAACCGTGTATAATGACTAACGAGTATGAAAAAAACCATCACCTAACACATAAAACTATTTTAACTTACCAGTTACATTTCAAAAGTGTTCTATCTTTGAACAACATTATATAGACGCGAGAGACAAACCTGATAATATAATCGTATTCGGTTTGTTCTTCTTTGAAGAGATTTCTGCCATTTGGGAACTGTTCCCGGCTATGATAACACAGAAGTTCAATGAATTCAATGTTAGCACAAATCAGATTACAATACAGAAACCACACAGGATATTTACAATATTTTCACCAACTCCAGAGACCTCTTCTTCCATTTCGTATTTCCCTCTGCGCGTAAATTTTTACGTTCTGTCATTATCGCATCGCATAATCTTTTTGCGGTGTTCTGATGAAATAAACATAAATATAAAGAACCAAAAGCAAATCAAAGATAACTAACATCCACTTACTACATTTTTCAATATTTTTGTTAAGTATTGACTGATGTTACTCGCTCGCCCATCTTGTTCCATGTCTTGATTATCTGAATCTGAAACGGAGTCAAAATCTGAAGATAGCGGAGTTGTCTCTGGAGACACTAAAAACTTCTCTATATTGCTAATTATATCGTCCCATTGATGTTTAAAGAGCCCTCGTGCTTTTGTCCCGGATGAACTGATTGTATCGATAATGTTATAGCGCAATAAGCTGTAAAATAAAGTTAGTGATCAAAAGCATATAATCAGATAATAACAGCATGCGAGAATTAATTACGTACTCCTGTTTATGAATCTCTTCAATGTATTTTGATGTTTGACGCCATTTCTCCATTTCTGACCGGATACAGATGTTATCTATAATGAGTTTGAAATCGACAGTTGCACCAGGATTTTCTTGTAGGAGATTCTCCTCTAACTCTTCTTCGGGAACAAAAGGTTCTAAGGTAACGGTAGGTTCCTCATTAACGTGGTTATTTTTCATGTTTTCGTGATCTTGATCACGTTGAGAGACCGGGGAAAAAAATTCATTTATTTTCCCGTCCACATTCGAGTCTGTTTTCGTCCTTTTTGTTCGAACTTTTACGCTCGCCCTAAAGATAAATACAACATGGTTAGTTTTGCTGATTTTCAACTAGATAAAAAGGATGCACATAGGTACCTTTTCCTTTTCGTAATATCTTTTTTTAGACATATCTATATTTGAAGTTTCAGCATTGGTAGTCCCACCATAGATAGTTCCACTTCCTGAAACTGTCGAATTCTGAATGTTGATTAAGGGTCCACCACTCATTTTGCCTGATTTACGCTCTGTTTCCCAATCCTTAGCTCGTTTACAGTCACCCTAGCATGAAATATTTACGTTAGTAAATGGCATTTTTACATTCTATCATCCACATTCCCATTTAATATCCCATCAGGTCAGCCAGCAACCTTGAACACCAGGCAACCCAGCAAGTTACCTGTGCCCCAATGGGACCAGTGCTAAGTCAGCCAGCAACCTTGAACATCAGGCAACCCAGCAAGTTACCTGTGTCCTAGCACTGGTTTTGTGGCTCAGCCAACAGCCTTAAATGACGACGACCCAGCAAGTCCCCGTCACGCCACTTTTCCCACTTAAAATTCCCAATAAAAAAATTTACTTGCCTTTCTATAATTGTCAAGAAGCACTCGTGCTCTCTCCTTCCGTGGCCCTTTCTCATTGTCAAAGATGTTTTCGAGAGCTTTGATATAAGAATCTATCTTTAAATCAAATGACTCTCTGTCAGACTCGTTCAAAAAATCTATGATATCCCATTTAGACGATTTACAGTCGAAATATTCGTCTGCCATGACCATGATAAGCAAAGCAATACAGTATTATCAGCCTGAGAGACGAATAAAATTAGTCAACTCGTATCACATGTGTCGAGTGATATATCATCTGCTGATCTGCCGATCATATAATGTACAAATATTTTTGAAGTTGGGGAAAATTTTATTGATATTTTTAGATATATAACAAATCAGAAAATGCTAAAGAAGCAAACGAAATGTATGATGCTATCAAAGAGGGAGGGAGTACGCGGATCCTAGGCCATTTAATGCGAGTCCCAGCATCAAGTTA